GAAGCAGCCCAAATGCCCAAAAGTGGATGTGGTACATATATACAATGGAATATTAAAAAAGAGATGTGGTACATATATACAATGGAATATTACTCAGCAACCAAAAAAAGAGAAACACATATCTTTTGCAGCGACATGGATGGAACTGAAAAAGATCATGCTTAGTGAGAGAAGCCATAAAGAAAAGGAAAAATACATAATGGTTTCACTCATATCAGGAGTATAACGGGCCAGGCGAGAAAATAATAATTAATAATAACAATGATAGTAATAATGATGATAATGATGATGATAACAATAATAATAATAAACAGTTATATACCACAGACAATTTATGGGTGTGGAGTGGGGAATGGGATCAAAAACAGTGAGGGGAGGGAAATGCACTGGACTTTGGTGAGGGCACATGGGTGATTTGGTGATGGGAAGCCCAAGGGTATTACAACTGAGATGGAAAAATGCACAAAAGGATATAAAATAAACTTTCATATTATTAAAAAAAAAAAAAAGCAAGACCAATGGGTCTTAATGTAACAGTATGAAAGGCTTATTGATGTAATTTTAGATTCCACACTACAATTAACCTTTAAAAAGCTATCATTTTAGGCCCTCCCTGGTGGCGCAGCGGGTTAAAGCACAGCACTGAGAATCTAAAGCCGCTTCCGCATGAGTTCGATTCCCGCCTGCCCTGGAGGTGACCACATGGTGTGGCAGACCTCTCCTGACCCGCCCGCTGCTCCCCTCAGCAGTGTACTTCGTCGATCTGCCTGTTCTGTTCCCCACTCTGTCTCTGGTGAAGCCTCTCACCGCCCCTGAGCCTCTGGCCTGTACCTCAGTTCTGTATGCACAAATAAATAAATCTTTAAAAAAAAAAAAGCTATCATTTTAAAATTTTGGTGTGCTGTTTTAGAGTAAATGACTTAAAAATCAGGCATTTAGGCCCTCTTGCGGTTAACATCTATGACAGTCCTTACAGTTTTGTAAAAGCACCTATGATTATGGACACATGGGTCCAGAGAGCAGGAGCATATGCATATGTAAATGGAGACACCTGTGCCAAGAGGGAGGGGACACACAGGTGCATGACTCTCAGTTGGGATAAAAGATAGGGGGAGAATAGCAGAGAGAACACACAAGAGAGGCCATAGAAAGAGTGAAAAGGTACACTGGGAAGCCTCTTAGGCCTCCAGACCATACTTTGCGCCTGCCTACCTGCTTGCCTGCCTGCCTTGCACCTGGTTGCTCCACTACATTATCCAATAAAAATACCCATTATCTGAGATGGCATATAATATATTCCTGTCTTTTCCAACTATGCATATGTGTGAGACTGGATTTTCTTGATGTATTTCAAAAGAAACAACATATTGTACTAGACTGAATGCAAGAAACGTACGAAAAACCAGCTGTCTTCTTTTAAATAAGAACACAATGACATTTGTAATATAAAAAGGCCACTCTTGTTAAAAAGTAATTTTTTTTCCAGGAAAAGAGCACTGTTTTTCATAAAATTATCCTATTTGTGTTCATATGTAATCAATTTATTTTTACTTTAACATGGATATTTTTAAAGCATCTGTTTTAATTTAAATATAGTAAATATTGATAGATATAACATATATTTAACAAAGGGAGCTAACTGGTATCCTCAATTTTTAAGAGTATAAAGTGGTACTTGAGGTCACAACATTTGAAAAAGTCATTTCCAACATAGGGTAAGAGATGAATGGCAGGCATGACTCACCACAGTAAGGCTTCAGTCACAGCATCAAAGAACTCAGGGCACAGCATTTCCTGAGATTCATGTCCATGGCAAGTAAGAAGTGCCTCCACCAGTGGTTCAAAATCTGGCAGAGTAATAAGTGGGATACAAACTTGGGACAAGGACCTTACTTGCTCAGGAATCATTCTATGGAATAAATAAAATAAGAAATCATTACCCAAATCTTAAGAACCACATCTAAATAAAGACATATAAAAACTTGATGCTAAAAAAACTGGTTAACAGTTCATTTGTTTTGACACCCATATAGTGAGAACTACCTAACAACCATCATGGAATTCTCATCCAATGAATTATCTGATTGATGCAGTTCCTATTTTAACATTACTCATTGTTAGAACTTTGGCATAAATGTCTATAGGCACCTCCAACTAATCATTTCTCAAACAACTCTAATATCTTCCCCAACTCTAATCTTTGTCCTGTGTTCCTGATCTCATTTGCTCAGGCCAAAACATTTTAAGTCCATCCTTGACACCTTCCTTTCTGTCAAGCTCCTATCATGTCCAGCAGTAAATATCGTCAGTTACTGCATCACCTCACTACACTTTCATCACTACTAATTCTAATGAATTATTCCTGTCTCTTCTAGCCAGTAACCCCCTGTATAGAATATCTTAGGTACCTCCTCACTTTGTCCTTGCTTCTGCCCTCAGTCCCACTGTTTATCATCAGAACAGTTACAGCAATCCTTTAAAATTTTCATATCACTTTATCACTCAAAGCTTTTTGCAATGGTTTTCACACCTCACAAAAAAACTAGACAAGTCATATTCTATCCATCTGTTTCTTCAGTTTCATCCCTTTGTACTCTTAGCCTTGCCTATTCTGCTCCAGTGTTACAGGTCTCCAAAACCTGTATCCTCATAGGCTAGATGAGGTCCTATTGCTCACTTTGGAACACATTGCTAATGAGCTCCTCTGTTTCAGTTATATGGAGACTTCCTTGACTATCCCATACAAAGTCACTAAAATGACAGCAATCAGTCACAAGTGGTAGTTTAAATTAAGTGAAATAAAATTTTAATTCCCACTACCAAAAGTTCTCTAACTTAGTTGTACCTATTTATCAGCAACATCCTGGAATTCTCTTTTCCCCATAATCTAATTAACTCATATTGCAATTTTTATTTTCCAGAAATCAAATGAGTTTGAAAAACATGTTTAATGTGGAAAAAAATAACAGAAAAATTAGCATCTTACCCATTTTTAAGTATATAGGTATGATTCTGTTGTTGCAACGGATACCTAGATCTTTTTGATCTTCCAACACTGAAACTATATCCATTGAATAAATACTACCCATTTTCACCTGCTACTCAGTAGATCTGGTAACCACCATTCTACATGTTTCTATGAATTCAGATACTTCCTATAACTGGAATCATGCAGTATTTGTCTTTTTGTGACTTATTTCACTTATTATAAGCTCTTGAGGTTAATAAATGTTGTAGCATATGATGGAATTTCTTTTTTAAGGCTGAAAACATTCTATTGTATATACATACTGTATTTTCATTCTTTATTCATCCATTGTTGACATTTAAGTTGCTTATACCTTTTGGCTACTGCAAATGATACTTAACAATATGTTGTGCAAAAATACTTCTTTAAATCCTTTTTTCTTTTTTGATATAATTGCTCAGAAATGGGATTGCCAGATGATATAATAATTCTAGTTTTGCATTTTTGAGGAACCTACATACTGCTTTCCATGATGCACTTTTTTACATTCCCACCAACATCACACAACCATTCCACCCCTTTTTTCTATAGCCTCACCAACACACTACTTATTTTTTAATAATTTGGAGGATGACAGTCATCCTAATGGGTGTGAAAGATATCCCAATTGTGATTTTGATTATTAAGGTTGAACATATTTTAATGTGGTTGTTGGCTATTTTTATATCTTCTTTGAAGAAATATTTTCTTGAGTTCTTGGCCCTTTTATTACTTGGTTTATTTGTTTTTTGGTTTAGAGCAATAGAAATTTCTTACATATTCTGCATATCAATGCCTTATTAGATAGCTTGTAAATATTTCTATCCATTTCATAGGCTAGTTTCACTTTGTTGTTTGTTTTCTTAAGTGAACAGATGTTACAAACTCCCATTTGTGTCTTACTTTTTGTTGTTTGGGTTTTTGATGAGGTATCCAAGAAACTACTGTCAAATTCAATGTTATGAAGATTTTCCTATATGTTTTCTCCTAGGAGAATTATAGCCTGTCATATTTAGGTATTTACTTCATTTTGAATTTTTATTTAGGTGATAAGGGGTAAAATTCATTCTTTTTCATATGAGAATCATTTTCCAACATCATTTATTGAAGACTGTTTTTTCCCCATTGTTTATCCTTGATACCCTAGTTGAAAGTCATTTGAAAAGACATGTATGGATTTAAGCACGTCTTTCCATTCCATGGGTCTATGTATCTGGCTTTATGCCAGGACAAAACTGTTTTGATGACTATAGCTTTGTAATATGCAGTATAAAAATTTATTTATTGAGATAACCTTGATTTACAATATTATATGCTTCAAGGAGGTTCACACCTCCACAAATTAAGCTATCATACCATGCCTACCACCAAAGAACCAATACTCCTCCACTATATATTCTACTGTGTCCCTACACCCCTTATGCTCCAGTTCCCGTTTTGATAGCCTCAGTTCTATAGTCAGTCAGGGTTTGTTTTGGTTTGGTGTTGCCTGTTACTTTGTTTTGTTTTTTATATTTTACATGAGTGAAATCATCCAGTATTATTCTGATTTCTTTTGCTTACATTATCACTTCTAGGTTCAACTATGTTGTCACAAATGGCTAGAGTTCATCTTATTTTATAGCCGAGGCCTATTACAGTCATGTGTATATACACCAAATCTGCTTAATCCTCTCATCTGTTGTTGGATATGAAGGTAATCTCCTCTCATCTGTTGTTGGATATGAAGGTAATTTCTAGTAAATAATACTAGAATGAATCCCTTCAGGTTAGTATTTTTGTATTCTTGAGGAAGATACCTAAAAGAGACACTTGTTGGATCATATGATAGATTCAGTGTTTTGCAAAACCTCCACACTGTTTTTCATATAAGATAGATTAATCTGCATTTCCACCAATAGTGTATGAGGGTTTCATTTTTACCTATACCCTCATAACACTTGCTGTTTCTAGTCCTACTGATAAAGACCATTCTCACAAGTATAGGTGGTATTAAACTGCATTTCCCTAATGACTGGTGATGAGAATTTTTTTCATGTGCCTGCTGGCTATCTGTACGTCTTCTTTGAAGAAGTGTCTGTTTACCTCTTCTGTCCTCTGTACATTTTTCATTTTTATTACAGTGAGATATATCGAGATCTTTACAGATTTTGAATATTACTCCTTTGTTAAATGAATCATGTGCAAATATTTTCTCCCCTTTGGTAGGGTATCTTTTTGCTTTAATGATACGTTCATGTACTGTGCAGACACATTTTATTAACCTTTTTCCTGATATTTCTTATTTTGATCTAGTCCCATTTATTTTTGCTTTTTTTTGGTCACTTTAGTGGTGTCACCAAAGACATCACTGAAGTCAATGTTGTAAAGAGTGTTTGGCCTGTTTTCCTCTACATCGTTTATGGTTTCTGGTTTGACATTCAGGTCCTTGATCCACTTTGAATTAATGTTTTTGGTATATCAGATAGTGGTCTCATATTCTTTTGTAGGTGACTGTCCAATTTTTACAACACCGATTTTTGAATAGACTTTCCTTATTTCCCTGTTACATGTTCTTGGCTCCTTTGTCATAAATTAACATTCAAGTAGGTGCAGATTTCTTTCAGGGATTTTAATTCTATCCCATTGGTCAGTCTACCTATTTTTATTTCAACAACACAATGCTTTAATAACTACTTTTTTACTCAGAATTGCTGTGGCTATTCAGGGTCTTTTGTATATCCATAAAAACCAGTAGAGTATGGGACCTCCCTGGTGGTGCAGTGGGTTAAAGCACAACACTAAGAAGCTAAAGCCATTTCCGCATGACTTCAATCCCTGCATGCCCCGAAGGTGATCCACATGGCATGGTGGACCTCTCCTGACCCGCAAACTGCTCCCCTCAGCAGTGTACTTTGTCAGTAGGCCTGTTCTTCTGTCCACTCTGTCTCTGGTGAAACCTCTCACTGCCCCTGCACCTCTGGCCTGTATCCCAGTTCTGTATGCATAAATAAATAAATCTTAAAAAAAAAAAGTACAGTTTGGGTTCCTCTCTGGTCGCACAAGGAGCTAAAGCACAGCACTAAGAAGCTAGCCTCAGCCACTTCGGCATGAGTTCAATCCCGGCCAGGGAGGTGACCCACATGGTACAGCAGACCTCTCCTGTCTTGCCTCCTCAGCAGTTTACTTCCTAAATATGCCTGTCCTGCTCTTCACTCTGTGGAATCTTCTCAGCACCCATCCTCTGGCCTCCATCCCAGCTCTGTATGCATAAATAATCTTAAAAAACATAATAAACAGTAAATTTGTCCTATTTCCCTGAAGAAAGCTATTTGAATTTTGATAGGGATTGTTTTAAATCTAATCATTGTGTTTGGTAAGACAGCTATCTATCCTATTTTCATATGACATGATAACATAGATATATAACCCTTAAAACTTTACTAAAACCATTAAAAACAAATCAATTCAGTTCAATGTAAGGCTATAAAATCAATATATCAACACAATAGTCTGTTTTAGATAGGGTCCTAAACTGTACTGGATTTTATAGATCTACAAAAGACCCTGCATAGCCAAGGCAATTCTGAGAGAGAAAAAAAAAAAGTTGTTACTAAAACAGTTAATTCTTCTAATCTGTAAGCATGGAATATATTAATTTCTTTTAGCAGTGATCTGCAGTTTTATATAAAGTTTACTCTTAGGTACTTATTTTATTTGATTACAACTATTATTTTCTTGATTTCTTGCTCTTCAAGTTCACTGTACATAGTCCTGTATGTAGCCTTACATTGTATTAAACTGATTTGTTTCATTTATTAATGGTTTTGCTGAAGTCACTTCTCCAATTTGCATTCCTCTTATTCCTTTCTATTGCCTTACTGCTTTAGCTAGGACTTTCAAAATTATGTTGAATACTAAGT